AAAGACCAATGACCTATGCTAGAGCTCTGCACACACACACACACACACACATACACAGAGACTCAGGCATAGGCGCTGTCGCTGTCGCTGCTAGGCTTTTATTTTATATACTTTTTTTTTTGTACCCCCCTTTTCGCTTGGGTCTGGGGTGGCTCTGGCACACTTATAGACGACACATAGAGTGTGTGCTTAGCAATGTTGTTCTACTAACGGTAATGCAAACAGTTGGCGCTGGGCAAAAGGTAGCGTCTGTGCGAGTGGGTAAGAGAGAGGGAGAGAGAGAGCGAGGGAGCGAGGGAGCGAGAGAGAGAGAGATAGAATGAGAGAGGGGGCATGATAGTGGGCGTAGGCAGCGACGGTGACTGAGAGACAGCTCTGCTCTAGGTGCTCTGAACTCAACTGAACTGAACTGAACTGAACTGAAGCTAGCGACCAACTGGGTGACTTACTGTGCAGTTGGGTTACGGTAACTGTTTACTGCCGCTGACGCTGACGCTGACGCTGTCTACTGACAGTTTTCTTGGCTTTTGCCTGGCTAAGAAACTGTCTGCTTTTATAAATAGAAGCCCAAAAACAACAACTACAACAACAACAACAATAACTGATAATCATAACTGGGCACAATGGGCAACAATTTGCATTGTTTTTTTTTCGTCTGTTTCTGTGCAGGGTGGCCTGCGGGGCTGGTTGGGCTGCGGGGTGGGGTTGACAAAACAATGTGGCTACATTATGAAAGATTATTACTGTGAACTTTTAACTGTCAGTTGGGGCTGATGATGAGGGCGGCAACAGCAACAGCAGCAACAGAAGAAGAAGACGAAGGGGACAAAGATTTGCAAACAGTTGTATGTAAGCTTGGCAACCCTACAAAACTAACCTAACTCGAAATGCTTAAAGACAATCTAACAATATTTAAAGAAAGTTGAAGTCTCTTAAAAATGATTATTGTCAATTTTCGGGGCTTACTCCTTCTTGGAAAAACTGAAATTCTGGGTACATATTTTCATTTCTTTTCTGGAGAAGTGTAAAGCCTTGACTTTTACACATTTTAATCGCATCATTCTTCCTGAAAAGCGATCTTTTCGCAGAACAGTTCTAATTAGCGATCGATAACTGTAGTTAGTTTCTCAACTTTCCAACACTGTTCAAGTTTATAGTGGGAATAATTGCTGCTACAGCAAGGGCCTTCAATCTTTACGGGGCAATTAAGAGATACGGGCTCTATGCGTATTATTTGAAGCAAAAACTGAGTGAACCCTAAGAAGAGACGGCTCCGAGCGAAATGTTGATCTATGGTCACTTAATTATTCATTAATATTGAACTATATTTTTGAAATATTATTGAAATGAAGATTTATTGTGTACAAATTAATTTATGATTCTCAAGCCTGTAGCAGAAGTTTTCTAATATGTTCACTCGGAAATGAGGAATACGCAGGAAAGAGATTCGTATGAGATGCGGAAAAATCAAATAGCAGAAGTTTTCTACTTTGCGACATAGAGAATAAGAATACGAAGGGAAGAGATTAACACGATGATACCCAAGAATCGAATAGCAGATTTTTTCTACAGTATTCTCTCGGAAATGGGGAATACAAAGGAAAATTTAAACAAGGTAGTTCCAATGCTTGATTCGCGAGAGTCAAGTATTTCCAGATATTTTATAAGACATTTTGCTGAAGAAGTCCAACTACTTATTAGGCTAAGTTCGATAGTTTAAACCTAAAAGACTACAGTGAACACTCGCAAATAAACTCCCTTCATTTTTGTCTATTATTCCAAAGTACAAACAACTATTTGCAATTGCCTGGAAATACTATTTCCTATAACAAAAATATACAACATTAAAATATTGATATGATATTGAATCCTAAAGAAATTTTCGATAATAAGACTTTTATATTGAATGTGAATGAATGAAAGTGGAATTAATGTGAAGTGATTCGATTTTGATTTCTGCAAAATTCAAAAGTCCAATGAAAAGTAGCAGCTTAAAGGACAAATTCAATTCGTTGCAAAAAATCCTGCCAATAATATTTTTGTAAATCGACAACTCTTAGAAAATTATCGATATTTAAAAATAAGTGTTGTAAAACTCGAAACATCGAAAGATAAATATATTTTCTAAATAAACAGCTTTTAAATTGTTCGTAATCCAAAGGAGGTTTTTCAGCGCAAATAATATCCAATAAATTATCCAATTTGTGTGCTGGATTTCTCATGTTAATTTTATAATCCAATAAATATCTCATTTTTCAGAAATGATCCTTTATGGCTTTATGCACACACACACACAGACGCACACACGCACACACTCGCACAGTAATTTATTGCATTACACAATGTATATTTTGGGAGGGTGTGTGTGTGTGTGTTGGTGTGTGGGTGTGTGGATAAGTGTAGAGGGGTTTGCATTCTCAGCTGCTGCTCCAAAAGTTTCATATTTTTTCTGTTATTTTTTTTTTTTGGAGTCTGTACCAATAAATTACGTCACTTGCAC